TCATAGTTCTACAAGTTTTCGCCTCATACAGTAGAACTGTCTTGACATTTGTATTGAAAATTGTGACTTTGGTGTTGGTTGACAATTGTTTTGAGTTGCAAATGTTCTTCATTTGTAAATATGCTTCTCTTGCTTTGCCGATCCTCGCCCTCACATCTGCATCAGATCCACCGTGTTCATCGATGATGTTGGCCAGATATGTAAAGGTTTTCACATCGTCAAAAGCTTCTCCGTCAAGTGTAATTCGATTGGTGCATGTCGTGATGCATCGGAGAATCTTGCTTTTCATTTTGTGTATATTGAGACCTAGTGCTGCTGAGGCTGCTGTTACACTGGTCGTCTTCTCCTGCATTTGTTGTTGCGTGTGTGATAGAATGATGTTTAACATTTATTAATCTATTCCACCGTAATTAATTTAAGGTTATACCATGAAGCATCTCAAGTAGTTGGTTTATAATGAGTATTTTGTAATATTACTCCAATCAGTCTTTGAATAGATTATAAATCTATGCAGTCCTGTAGGCATAAAACGATAAAACTTTTACTGTTCAAACTAGCATTCAACTTCAAGTTTCATTATTTCCAGACACATATGATAGATAATCAAGCTACCTTGACCAATGGTATTTTACACTAACATTAACCAGTTTACATACATTTTTAACCTCATAATTAAACTATAATAAGAATATTATCAAGTGAAGGATAATTAATCTATTTATTTTTCAAAAACCCGCTCATTGTTTCTATTAAAACCAATTCAAATTGTAAGCAGTTTCCGTCAACTTTATTGATATTTTTTGGTATAATAATTTATTTAATGATAATTATTATGTTAATTAATTTTTTGAATTTTAATTTTAATAAAACAAACAAAATTTCACTAATCTATTTCGTTTTACTTTTTCATGGATTCTAAGAAAAAAACTTTTTTTTCAATGAAAATTACCATTTAAATAAATTTTTGAAGTTTGCGTCAAACATTAAAACACAAATTTAAAAAGAGGTATTTTTTTATTTTTAAAACAATAATGTCAATCAAGCAATTGCATGTATACAAATATGAATAAAAATAATGTCATATAATGCACTTTCAACAAAAATAACTTATTCACTGCCAATCATTGACTCATAAAGTAATTTAAGTCAATGATATATCATATGACTACTACATTTTTATAAGAAGAAAACAATAATGTAATGTAGTTTAATGAAAGTGCAGTAAACAAAAACACTAGTGGAGATAATAGAACCCATCTTAACACACAATCACGAAACATCTTACTAAAATTTGAGAACCAAACAGTAAATACTTAATTTGCAGATTATCAATCAAACTAGACTGTTCCTTTGTAACTGTCTTCACTGACTTCACTATTCCTCCATCTCTATGCTAATTGCTTTCTGTTTCTGTTCTTTTCCTCTGAATCTCCTAATCTTCTGCTGCCAGATATTCTACTCCTGACTCACAATGTATACTACTTATGTCGATATAAGTAGAAAACTTAAAATTATGTAAGGTATATCGACTAACAATGAGAATACCTGTTTAGCTAATACTTTATTGAATTTAACATAACAAAGGTATTTAATTTTTCAACTCAGTAATCTTGAATCTATGGATCCTATTGGATGCAGGATTTTAATCAGTGGATAAATATAGGTTCACATAGATAACATGCTTATCGATGTACTTTTAATACTTGACTTATCAATGTAATTCTGTTAATTTTATTAACATCCAACAATCCATAATTTTGAGAGATTACTTGGTTTTTCAATTTACTTTACTGAAAATTTCATAATTATGTTACCTAAATGTATTGACATGAATATCCCCTAAGGTTGAAATCAATAATAAAGTCTTGTGACGAGCTTCTAATAATCACGAACTGTACATAACTCTGCTTATTGTTTTCACTTTTTTCAGCTAAGTTTATAAACAATCTCGTTGATCAATTTACTCAAATTATCTAAGTAAATCATTTAAAAATACGATTTTTGATTCCAAATAGTGTTTATTACTCAGGATGTAAACAGTCTTCTTTTGATCTAATGCACATTTTTAATAAATTTAATAGAATCTCTGTACACGTAATCATTGGTTTTACACAGTTGTTCTTGGTCAATTAAGAAAAATAGATGTTTCGTCTAGGTTACATGACTGGTCACATTTTTTAAACATTGAAAAGCTTGATACAACATATATAGATAAAAACTTTGTTTTCAAACAAATACTCATCAGGTTATATATACCCTTATGTGCTATATATTATCAGAAATATTATATCAGTCATGGCTTAATCAAGCCCAAAATATGAATTTGTTGAACAGACGATACACTAGTCGTCATTAATAAGAAGTAACTGGTAAGTACCTTCATTATGACCTAACACGCTTACGACAACTTGACATTCATAATGGTTAAGGGATAGAATATTATATGCTTTTACCACCAGTATAACCTCAGAGAAACTGTGGAAACTGTTGTGTTAGAAACCAACTCACACAGATCAGTCGCAACTACTAAAGCAATAAAACAACAACTAACGAAACCAACTACGTGTAAGCTTTATTCAAGAGAGAAGGGATACTACATTACATATGCAATATGATGAAGTGATGAAAAATATTTAATGATATTTTGTCAAAAAAACAGTGACTAGTGTGACTTCATTGGAAAATGTTTATCAACCTCATTAAAAGGAATAAAACCAAATTTGTAAATGAACAAACGGATCATCCTACTGCATATGAAGCATATATTGGAAATTACAACAAAATTATTGAGGGAGATTGAAAGAGACGTAAAACGTAAGTCAGTTAAGTCACCCCAACCAATCTCATACAGACCAAAGAATGAAACGACGAAAGAAAAACACTGAAGATCACCATAAAATAAATTCCACCTATTGTGAAAAACACGACATCGAATAGATTGATCACTCTTCTCATTTTTCTCTGATTAAACACATACTAGCTACTTAACTCCATGATATATTCCCGCCCATATCAATGAACGTAGACTATCATGGACTTACATTTAACTTGGGAAATGTCGAAACCTTGGATATAGGGAATACAAAGTAAATCAGTTAGTTTTTGAAGCTTTGCATTCAATTCAATAAGCAATAAAAAACATGAAGAAATTAACCCAATTTCTTAGCCAATCAGGAATGATATCAACAACTATAGGATCCGAAATTAAGTCACAGTGGAAAACACTAAAAATATAGATTCAGACAATGAGTTGACAACAACCACTCAAAATCATGGTCAACGGAACAAGCTGTCAGTCATACATAGAGACATGTGAATAGTTTACTTCTATCAGAAATTTATACTGACAACGTTGACGAGAATGACAATATAAACTTCACAATAAGATCACCCAACCCAAAGAATGGAAATACACTTAAATAATCTACTTAATTGACAAATCTCCCCTTATGATAATAATTTCTTCCGATATTATTCACTTAATTTGTTTTTTGTCGAGATCAATTAATAAAACTCAGGTAGTTTTAGTAAACTGAGTAAAGATTTAATTTTATCCAATAGTACTTTTGTTTTAATTCAGTGTGTTAATTGTTAATTATAATTTAAGTTTATTTTCAGTGTGGTAGTTTTCACATTAGAACAGTTATTCGATTTCACTATATCGTTCATTTAGTTTAGTGTTATTCGTATGGATTTTATGTGAGATACGCTGAACAGTACATCCAGCAATTCAGTGCATTGCACCTATAATGTGGTATTCCTTAGTCAATAATCGAAATTGTGTTGAATCAATGAACAAATGGTCTTCTTTGTAGGTTTTTTCAGTATTGTGGAGATTGTAGTGGTTTCCGGTTTCAAGTATGACAGCACTCCAACGATTACAAAATGTTCTACTTTAACTTTAGTAGTAAATCTATGGAACTTTGAGTAAACTTACGAATTTCAAAGATATCCCTTTAGTGCCGCAAATAGCAATATTGATGAAAAGTTATTTTAATCGTATCTAATAAACTTTAAGATAGGATTATTTTGTGAAATTGAATGGAAAGTTATTCCTATGGCTCTGGCTACTGATTAAACAATTCAGTAGTAATTATAAATGACATTTCTGACTTTATTAGAGGATTAAAATCTCATATTAACCATAAATATATACATCTTAAAGGATATAAATGCTTATAGTTTATGTTCAAGTTTCTCACTATAAACAAATGATGGATATGTTTAATAGTGATACTAAGCACCTTGTCATGTAACTAACGTCAAATGAAGTTAAATGTTATTAGTATGAATGAAACACTCGACATATAAGCCTTATACTTGAATTTATATAAAAAAAATTCCCCAATAAATACGAGATACAGGTACATCCAGCTGACAGGTTCAAGATAAGACGAAACACACGTACTATATTCCACTACTAACCACCATTTTTCCCTATTTAAATGTATTAATTAATTGTTCCAATAAGACTTATCCAGGCATAAGCAATTAGTATATGAATGGATTTTCGAAAATAAATGAAATCGACCAATCAGAAAAAGTTTGCTTACAACAAACTAATGAGATATTTTTCTCAAAATTCACCGTAGCTAGGGCCAAATGAGCTACATATCTTTCATCATCAATCTTCCTTATTATCTATTCAGAATAATGTTTTCATGACTTTTTTCAGCATTTACTCGTTATAAATTAATTGTGGGTAAACACATAAGTAAAGTAGTTATTGAATCACATCATCTATTCCTTCAAACTATACAGGCACTTAAAAACGGAATGTTGTTAGCAATACAGGTTGTTCCAATTGAACTAAACTAAATATGAGTAGAACGTGTGGTCTATTCTCCTGGGACGATCAACAGTAAACCCTGACATAGCCAACTCACAGAATAAACTTAGAATTTAAGCAGTAACATTTTACTTTATAAAATATTAATTTATGATATTTAAATAAATATGCCAGCAACAAAACATTTCATTTATTTTTTTTCTAACATTAGTGGAATATTCGGTTGCTGTCTTATACCATTCTGTTGTGATTCCTGTAAAGACGCTGATCATCGTTGTCCAGTATGCAACCGTAACTTAGGTTTATACCGTCGCTGTTAGAATCGACAATAAAGTAAAATCAAGTTTATCAGTCAATCTTCATTGACATTACTTTTTTATAAAGATGATATTATCATTCATAAATTTTTATTTAGTACATTATCTATGGTGTTAACGATTCAATTTTATTCCGAGGCAAAGGAAGTAAAGGGGGATCGAATGTTGAATTTAATCATGGTCATTAAAAATTTTTCATGAAACAAAAACTGTGATTACTGATTTAAATGTAATAATATTTGAGTTTTCTTTCAATTGCTTTCAATTTACTAAAACGTGTGGTGTACCTTTTAAAACATATCAGGGGAGATGGATGTCTAGATCTCATTAGAAACATAAAGATGAAAGAAATAAAGTTTGCCATGTCAACTAACTGGTCATAATCAATGTAGGGCCTGATACAAATATCGATTGCTACAGGATTTTATATTACATTGGTGCTTTGAAATGAAATCAAAATGAACTGTATAAAAGAGAGAAGAAAATAATAGTTATGTAAACGACACATCGACCAAATCTTAGAATAGGGTTTGCGAATTGAGAATGTATTAATCAAATAGAAGGTTCAACTTCAAAAAGAAAACTAACATTTAGAAGAAAATAAAAAATGGATAGATTGGCACAATCACTATCGATTTCGAGTTATTTTACAAAGTATCCAACCACTGATAAATTTTGTCACGTGTACTTCAATCAGGACGTTTATTTCTGCCTGCCACGTCCTCTACTTGATTACCCCTAATACGGTAAATGGCTTCAACACTCGAACGCCTAGAACCCACAGTCGCTAGTCGAATAGATGGAAGAAGGTAAAAGAAGCATTTATTGAGTAAGTGTAAGAAATCTACATAAAAACAGGTAAATTTATAGTTTTTAGTATAAGCTTTAACATTATTATAATCAAGCCAATCTGCGACGACGAAGTTAGTGCAACCGTCTAAACATAAAATATCACGTTAATATTCTAGAACGATATATCGGATTCAGGATTTATGGAGTCTAATCAGCTCCTTTAGAGACACTGTAGGCTTTATAGCCCATTGTGGATTCCTAACAGCCGTCGTAACACTCTCCAACACCGTTTAGCACTAAGGCTCTGGCTGAAGAATACTAAATAAAAGATTTTATTCGATTTAAGTAATTAGACAGCACAAAATTATTTTTAGAGGTTCAGTGGTTGAAACAGTAAATTAGAAAGACATGGTATTATCTTTTATTAACTTATATTCAACTTTCAGTTCAGTTCTTATATAATCATATATATGTGTATTACTTACGCCTGTTACTCCCAATGGAGCATAGGTCGCCGACTAGCATTTTCCAACACACTCTGTCCTGGACCTTCCTTTCTAGTTCTATCCTATTTTTCTTCATTCTCCTCATGTCCATCTCCATTTCTCGGAGTAATCTGTTCTTTGGTCTTCCTCTTCTCCTTTGACCTTCAGGATTCCATGTGAGGGCTTGTATTGTGACTCAGTTGGGTGATTTCCTCAATGTGTGTTCTATCCACTTCCAGCGATTCTTCCTGATTCCATTCTCCATTGAAATTTGGTTCGTTCTTTCCCACAGTAGGTGGTTGCTGATAATATCTGATCAAAGGACATTCAGTATTTTGCGTAGACAACTGTTAACAAACACCTGTATCTTCTGGATGATGGCTTTCATAGTTCTACAAGTTTTCGCCTCATACAGTAGAACTGTCTTGACATTTGTATTGAAAATTGTGACTTTGGTGTTGGTTGACAATTGTTTTGAGTTGCAAATGTTCTTCATTTGTAAATATGCTTCTCTTGCTTTGCCGATCCTCGCCCTCACATCTGCATCAGATCCACCGTGTTCATCGATGATGTTGGCCAGATATGTAAAGGTTTTCACATCGTCAAAAGCTTCTCCGTCAAGTGTAATTCGATTGGTGCATGTCGTGATGCATCGGAGAATCTTGCTTTTCATTTTGTGTATATTGAGACCTAGTGCTGCTGAGGCTGCTGTTACACTGGTCGTCTTCTCCTGCATTTGTTGTTGCGTGTGTGATAGAAGAGCCAGATCATCTGCGAAGTGTAGATCTTCCAGCTTCATCCTAGCTGTCCACTTTATCTCTTGCTTCCGTACAGGTGTTGACGTTTTTTATAATCCAATCGATCACCAGGAGAAAGAGAAAGGGTGAGAGTAAGCAACCTTGCCTGACACCGGTCACTCTATTTTGTCTTTACCTCGTTCTTCTAATGAACAAAAATTAGGCAGATCAATGGAAATACATATGCAAAGACCAATACGGAATACATATATATTGATTTTGATATGACTTACACTCTCAGCAGTAAGAAAATATCAAACTGATGTACTCATAGTTCTTGTAAAATATTAATATTTAATTATATCTATTTACTGAAACAAATATAAGTAGTACACCTAAAATCATGAAATTACCATTATTCACTACAAAACTCTTGTTAAAAAAAGGAGCCGCGTATTCATATCAAACATCACCTACTAAAACGTTTACAACTCTATTTTTTTAGAATACATTTGCTACACAAAATTTGACTTTCTCATCTTGACACTATCAGTGTCATTTGAACAATAGTTTGGTAACATCACCAGTTAGAACCGACCGACATAGCAATCTATTCCCCTTGATTATCAAGTGGTAATCCTGGAGCAACACGGCGCAGAATCACTGTAACTAGTCACAACGCTTCAAATATGATTAACAGATTTTAGTCAGTGACGATATGAATTAGGTATCATAGTAACCCACTGATAATATGATTAGCTTTATTTTTCTCACTCTACATAGTTATCACTTTTCATACTTTTTCTTTAGAGTAGCAAACTAATTGGATAATATTCAGAAATTCATTTTATTATTCAAACTATTTGAACGTGGTATATTTGTTCTGAACATAACCAAGGCACCATATAAAAAATCGTTGGTCTTTAGGAGACCAGATACAGTTTGGGTTCTCAAATAATTTAAAAATCAGATTATAGTTTTATGTTTAGTAAAATTTATGATATAGCCAAATGCTTTGAGTTTAAGATTCATTTTCATACCCCCTTGACTCACAAAATATACAAATCGTGATGGTGATTATTTATCTCAATTAAAGGTGTTGAATATGAAATTTATGAATTAGTGATAATGCTCAGTTCAATCAATAAAATCACATTCACACATTTACGATTGAAATTATAATAATATCATGACAAGTGACTGAATAAAACGGCTATTTCCAACATACATGGTACTTCGTCGTTGAAAAGTACTATCAGAACAAAGTCAACCATAACACAGAGTTTATCAAATATTTTATGTCAGTTTCAGTCAACTCACGCCTTTAATCTGGATAATGAAGTCATATTTGTCAAATCTACTGTAAAATCAACAGCAAGCAACGAACTGACTCGGTAAATCATATTTTGTCCTCAATGATAAGGTTGATACTTTAATTCCATAATTACAATTCTAAGACCTTTCCATTTTCTCACTAAAACAATTTCCTTGAGTCATATAAACGTCTATAAAAAAACACCCTGATAGATTTGCATATATAATCCCACATTCCAACATCATTTGTTAAAACGTAAGTGATTAGTTTCATAAAAGTTAGACAATGCCTCTATGTCTACTTCAATTTAGTAGATATTGTATATCAGTTAAATATAGATGGACTGTTTAGGTTTATGCTTTTCATTTGAACAATAATTTTAATCGTCAGCTGTTGATCAGAAACTTATCATTTACTCAAACAACCAACAGCAAACAGGAAGCAAAATAGTATATTTAGATCTTCCATTGTACACAATCTCTTTAAGCTACTCAGCTATAGTCTATTGGTTAACATGTTCTTACATTAATTATCTATTGAAAAACCACGATCACCAATAGAATTGACTAAATGAAAAGCGTTGAGACTAGTTTTTCACCATCATCTCTACCAACACAACATTAAATCATAATCCAGTTATCATTGGTGATTAGCTTTGAGATAGGTGTCAATTCAAATTGATTAAATTATTTATTGAAATATCAGAGGCAGTTGTTTCAATTCACAAAGCAAGCTACATTTTGTTTTTTTTAAGTTTACTTAGCATATTCCTATTTATATTAAAGTTCTCATTACTGTGTTTGTTTGAATTATGGCATGTATTCGCATAATTTATACAACGAATCTAACCGTTCAAAAGTTGGTCTAATGACATATTTAGTTTCTGGTTTACTTCTTATCAATCATCTCTGAGTTAAACTTTTAATTTTCTAATTATTGGAATATAAGTGGTTTAACCTTTTTATCCAGAGACAGCATCATCATCAATATAATTTGTAGGCCTTTAGTTCACTCAAATAGAGTGGATTTTACTAGTAGACTGTTAAATTGCAATCTACGATTATAGCCCTGAATGATGTTGTTTCACACTAGACTGTTTGTAATTGTCAACCATTTTGCAACGACATAAAATTCAGTCATGAGCTGTTGCCTTGTTAAAAGAAGACATTTTCTACATACTTCAAACGGAAATGAAATACATATTTTACATGCTGTCGAAAAATTAATGAGCATTCTTTATTCAGTTTTTTTGAATAGTTCTATTTAGCTTACTGTCCAGTAAAGTACAGTATGAGTTTCATAACAATTTTGATTGTTTTTGAGATACCATCAACAGTTGATCGTTTAAACCTATTCATCATTTACATTACTTAGCAGTATTGTGACTTGAAAACCATTTATTTCTGTTTCTGAGATTCTCACGTTTCAGTTTACCGACATTTTTATTTTCCAAACTTCAATTTCTTGTCAGAGGATACACTATATATTTTACAATTTTTTCTAATGAATGAATAGAATCGTCAATAGGTCTATTTATGGTATTATAAAAAGTAAATAGATACTAAATCTACCCAACATATACTGAGATTGCATCAGCTTAATCAAGAACTAACCTAAATAGGTGTGAGGCCACTCAAGTACTCATTTCAGGAATATCAGACGTCTATTTACCGATGTCAACTAAAAACGTTAAATGAACAAGCTGTAAAATTTATACTCTCAGTACTTTCAACATGATCTCTAACAATGAATGTCAAGGGTTTGATCATAGATAGGGAGTGTTTTTAAGTAAATAATATCAATATATCCTAATGTATAGTGAATAAAGCTTTTGTGACTTCAGTTTGGACAATTATTTGACAAGCTAATATATGTTCGAGAATTTAGAAAAATGGAAGAAATGTTGACTGTTTCCGCTGTTGACTCTTTGTATTAAATTGAGATTAAGTATCTACCATAATTCGACAATGTTTCATATGGGCTAACCATATTAAAATATAATGAACGGTCACTTTTCAATTTTTATGATAATATCAAAACAATAAATTCTTTCGCCTTATAAGGATTTTTCACATTAAAAATTCTAAATACACATTATTAATCTTCCTATTAGTAATAATTACAATTCTAAGCTTGTTAGTTTATGTTTAAAAGTCTCAACTTATACTGTCATTTGTGGTTGGAGAAATCGCCAGTAAGCGTATCTGCATTCACCTGGAGTTTTATTAGTCATCACAAATCATTGAAAGTGTTAATATTACCTCTAGTTCTCAGTTGTGAATTGATTCGTTTCTTTTGTATCCACTGAGACTACTGAAATCGATTTCAAATATTCTTCTCACAATGAAGTGAATTGCTCCTTATTTGGATTTTGAGAACTCGGTAAAATAATTTTAGGTACCTTATAGTACAGAGTACACTTTATTTTCATGCTTATTTGTTATTGAGAACAATATCAGCGGTTCAATGATTTCAAACAGAAAAATATGTAGCAACCATCCTTTTATGTAGTGTGTTTGATTTAGTGGACCAATCAGAAATCCCGTGAATAATTGAACGCTGATCAACATTTATGTTATGCCTGAAAAAAGCATCAATATTATGAATCAGAAGTAGACAAACAGACCTAGGTACAAATGAAATTTCAGGCTTAAAATGGTTGTACACAACCACCCTGAACAAGGATTGATGGGCTTATGTGTAACTAGAACCTCAAAAAAATATTGACTGAATCATAACAACATATTGTGATTAAAGTGTCACCGAAGATCAATTCTTAGAAAAGCTTAATCATTTTCTGTAAAACACTCCTGTATTACATGAATAGTGTGATTATTGGCATTGATGATATTAAAACAAGCATACGAAAGGAGATTGTCTCAAACTCTGATGAACCATTACTTTATTGTAACTTTTGCGCTGGCACAATTTGATTATTGACACTTTCGTTGTGAAATACTGAATACTTGGAGTTCAGTTTCCCAAAGTATGCAAATTATAATTAATGTCAATCGGCTTCCTTCATTTGGTGTATATATCATTGAATGTTCACTATCATTTGTACTTTAGTTACCATGATAACCTGTCGGACGAGACAAATTTAACATCGATTAATCTACGATTTACAGGAAATCTAATCCCCCAGGGAGCATCAGCTCTCTTAAAATTATAAATACACATTGCTTACGACCCCTAAAGAGCACGAAAATTAATTTCATGGTTTCCTGTCGACTGCCTCCAACCAACACCTTACATCTCAGTGATCACTTATTTGAAAATATCTCAGTGTAATAGAAGTGAAGTGAACGAAGATTTGGTAGAGAAAACCAATTTATTGTTAAATGAAAAATTACACAGTGGCTTAGTAAGATCTGAAAATGATTCATAAAATACATCGTTTGCAGATCTTCTTTGCGTTGTCCTTTACCTACTCCATTAGACCTCTGATTCTGTTGTTATTTTGTTTGCTCTCTTCAATTCAGTATTCTGTCGTCAGGCATTTCACTTCCAACTGCGGCTACATACCACTTATATCTGTCAGCACTAGTAGCATACAGCAAATGAGGTCAATCATAGCCCTGATAGATTAATGCCAACGCTTAGATCGTACAGATTTTTGTTCGATTCTCTCTAGATGAACACATTAATTCAAGATTACATGAACATTTTGATTATGAGTACCAAATAACACGAAACTTAAATCTGGGATTTCCTATCAGCTGAGTCGAACCATCTAACAATGATACCTAATATTATTACACTGGCAAAACTTTCAATTACCGCATACTATTAAAACTTTTATTATTACCCCAAAAGCGCTATACCACGGGTTGACTTATTATAACTGGAAAATATTTCTAATACGAGTATTACCATTTCATATGAACCACCTCCTGGTCTTCCGATTTCCGAATCGGAACCGAATGTTTATTAGTATTCACTATTTTAAGTACATACTTTCGTACGCATGATTTATGTGCTTTGATAATGAGCACCAAATAGCATAAAATTTAAGTTTGCAGCTTTCTACCAATTTCCTTCCACTACCTAACACCAAAACATAGTGGGTGGAATACCAAATCACTAAGACTAGTGACTACGACTTCATCGATTGAATTAAGCAACCACCAAGAACTAGATAGACTTGACATGAATTGCAACAAATTGATCAATCACATGTATCGATAAATTGACTCCTCGTGTTCTTTTCTTGCATGAAACTGAATGACTGTTATTTTTATATGGTGTACAATGCATTCCATTAAGTATATTTAATTGAATAATTTACTTTCTCAACTATTTAGATGACCATTCACAATCACCAAACATATGTATATGAAAATAAAGGTTAAATAAAGCACAATTGTATTTTAAAACTTCAGAAGAAAATAAACAAATCAGTATTCAAGAGAATCAGAAACACCAAACATATGCTTATTTTAGTTGAAGTGTTAAATATCAATTTTACACAAACAGAAGTATATTAATGTAGTACATGCGTACGTGAGTTCTTAAATATCGCAGTATTTTTTTCAAAGAAAAACAAAAGAATTCATTATGTAAAAGCTAAGTTAGCATGCGGTAATGAAGGATCATAATTTCAGATTACCAGAACAATCGAGAACTCTTTTAATTCGATAATTAATGCAATAACAACAAAAAAACAATCACTAATCCAATTGAATTCACTACTTGAAAAACATTTTGCATCTGAAGCATAAACGGATGCATATGTTCATTAGGATAAATTTGGGAATGCATATGAAATAAGGTTGGCTTAAACCAGTGAATTCGCCATAAAATAATTTCTGTATCTTTTATATTCAAAAAAATATAGAATTTAGCATAGATTTAGTTGATTAAGTTCTTCGGAACATGACGTTGGTTTGTGTAGTATCAAAACCTTATTGTGAACATATATTATCTAGCTTCTATTAATAACTGTCTTTGGTTAGATCAAACCATGTCACCAGACAGAAACTGTGTTTTATTGTTATTAGGAATACAACTACACACTGCACAATCTAAATCTATGTTTATATTCAAGAAAATGGGTAGGTATAGTTGATCGGACCTGATTCATTATCCTATTCTTATAAAGCTCCAAGTGACGTTCTGGTCATCTTCAAAATGCAAAGAAACAGTTTTTTTTTTAATTCGTGTCTTATTTCTATCACTAAACTCATACAATATTTCCTCAAATCGCACTGAGCAAGAATAATTAGTACAAGTGTACCTGAACATGCATACTGTAGTTTAACTTACAGTATACATAAAGACTTACATATTTATAAAACAAATCTCTTCATCGCATTCAAAACTTTCTGAGTTCTTTCATATGACGGTAAAACTAAAATAAATATGGAAGTAATTAAAATATGCTACTTACATCCAAGCAAACGGAACCGTAGAGTCTCAATCTCTTCAATCTTATCAGCAATTGTATCTAAGGGAATAAAAACCAAACATTTTAGTAGCAAAATACTGTAAGCGTAATATACATACTTGATGAGTCCTTTTAGTTAATAATAAAGTCACATGTGAAATTTGTTAAGCTCTCACATAAATATAGAGATTGACATATGTTGGCATAATTGATTAACTTCAAATTATTTAAGTTTCGATTTATAAAGTAGATAGAATATCTTATCAACATCCCAGTCATGACTCTCTGGTTAGGTCTTTTTTGATAGATGCGAATAAAAGTTATTGATCCAGTGGTTTTGCGCATTCCGAAATTTAATAACATTATGTTGTTGTTACATCGTTCATTCTGCAGAAATAATTATCATTGATTAACATTTAATTGCATAAATGTTTATACCTGTGAATAAATACAAATATGAATTCACCTGGTATTGTTTGTTTTTCAATCTTCTCATTGATGTTTAGGACTGCGATTGATCTTTGCTTATAATGCTTGTGAATTAAGGCTATATCGAGGCAATACGCATATTATGTACATATGCCAATAAGAGACTGATCAATTGCAGTCCAAAACATAAATGAGAAGATTCAAACAAACAATATCGATTGAATTCAAACTTTCCCTTTTTGTACAAGCATGTGGCTATCAGGACTCAGTAGCTAAATGGATAATGCGATGGCGTTCGAAGATAACGGTACTGGGTTTGAGTTACAGAATGAACATCAACTCTGAGATACAGGTACATCCAGCTGACCAGCCCCAAATAGGACGAAACACACGTTCTGGATTCCACTGCCAGACACTATCCATCTTGGCCTGTAAATACAAATATGGTTTATCCATCGTTTTACAGCGTTCTCAATGGATCATGTTTTACAGTCAGTTTATTAGAGTTAATCCCAAGTCCTATACAGATATTCCAAATGTGCATAAAATGTTAATTGATTGAAAATGGTCGATAGTAAACCACTAAACCTTGGTTCGTGTTGTTTGGCAATCATCATCAAAATGTACATTTAATTTTGAAGTAACTTGGGCTCCTTGATAGATTCAAACACATTTCACTGATCTGTACAGTATGAAATATTACCACTATTCTATTTGAACTATGACTGACCTATTAGATTGAAATATTTTCAAATAATTGATCACTGAGTATTAGCCAATCTCATATGTGTCTAGTCGTTTTTAGTGCTGATCAAATCCAATCGATCAAGTGGACACGATCACCATTCACTTGAGTTAGCGTGTACATCACAAATTGATCTTTAAAACTAGATCAACATTTAAGTGTTTAAATTAACATTATACTAATCACTCAACCAGTCAATTGTAAATTAAATGTGAACGAATGAATAAGGTTACTTCAAATGAATTACATGTAACCAAACTAAGAGACATAGAAGTATTACGGAACTTCTGGCGTAGTTCATCCTTATTCGAAGCATCTGCAGAAATACAAATGGAACTTTTTAATTCAGAAATAAAAACTATGCAAACTGCTTAATTTGCACAGAACAATGAGAGAATGAAATTAATACTGTGATAGTAATAAAATAATATGCAAAATTAGTAAATAAATGATTTATCAACTATGTAATAACAATTAAGTAGCACATAATTTGCTCATTATTAGAAACGAAATAGAGTGAAACATTCAACAACTCTCACTATATTCATGTACTACATGTAGATAACTTCAAGGACAGTATTCAAATGTTTCATAATAAATACCCAAATCATTCGCTTCTCTAAATATGGATGAAAGTGGTTAGTGAAGTGTTTATCGTAACCGTTAACTAACAATAAAAAGACAGCTATAGCAGCTCACGTATGATTGAGTCTGTTCATAATTAGTTTGGCTAATTCCTTTTGTTAACTTATTTAACGGACAGAGTCATTCGTACAATAACAACCTATTCATATTATTGTGACTTTATTATTCTTGCACTTGTATGAATATGTGTGCTTGAGCATGAGAGAGAGAGAAATTTTAACCCTGTTCACTGACTCGCGCACTCGTTCATTAACTTCATCACTGTCTCGCTCGCTCATTCTTTTCTCACACAACAACAAGTTCCAGGCCTTTCATGATCTACTCAATGGAGAGAGAACTATGTAGAGCAACTGGAAAGGGATAAAAGAGGCAATCACTTCAACATGTCAGGAGGTTCTAGGCCACAAGGAGAACCATCACAAGGAATGGATCACTGTTGGTACACTGGAGTTGCTTGGGTTCAGTGAAACACATTGGACGCAGGTTGAACAACAACGACTAGCTTCAGCATGTAGTATCGTTTGATATGTTAAGCTCATATGCCTTATTCTTACTTCTAGACAAGTCAATTCACCTGTCCATCAAGAGTCATGTTTTCACCTTGTCAACTATTCACTTATTAACCCTGACCATTTTTTTATGAGCGTAGGTGTGAGTACACTTCTTATCCTATTTATCACATGTCTGTCATTTATTCTTGTCTGACTATAAATATTGATTAACGCTTAGTAAAAGTGAGTTGACTTACCCGCCATCTCCAATGCATGTCAATTTTGTTTTGCTCGCTGATATGTACTCATGTGCTCATAACTTTGACAATAAACTGTAGCTGCCGCTTCTCTTTCCCTTCTGATTTTATGCACCGTTAAGATTGGTATTATAACGCTTATCAGGGTTGTAGTATCGGTTGTCATGTTAAGCCCATATACTTTATTCTAGCTTCTGGCCAAGCTGATTCACCTATATATTATGAGTCATATTTTGATCCTGTTAATTATTCGCTTATTAACCTTGACTATATTTTTATATGAGCGTATATGTGTACCCTTTGTATCCTATTCATCATATGTCTGTCATTCATTTTTGTCTGATTATAAATATTGAGTAATGCTTGCCCATAGCCAGTTGGCTTCCCCAACTATCTCCAATACGCATTATCTTTCGCCTCGCTCTCGAGCCATCTCCACTATGCATCAACTTTGCTTCGCTCGCTTATACTTGCTCATGTGTTAACAACTTTCTGGTCTGCATCATTTATCAATAAAAATATAGTTGCCGCTTCCCTTTGCCTTCTGATATTATACACCGTTAAGATTGGTATTAATAACGGTTATCGAAGCGAACTATTGATGAAGTACGGCACTACAAGCAGAGCTTCTGTTATACTCCGGCCATGAACAAGAAAATGCCACACATACACAAGGAGTTGCATTGATGCTGTGCAAACAAGCACAAAATTCACTTATTGGATGGGAATCTCATGAACCAAGGATCATCAAAGCCTCCTTCAAAATAAAGAGAGAGGGTATTACAATGAACGTCATCCAATGCTATGCGCCTACCAACGTCTACGATGAAGACGCTAAAGACCAATTCTACGACAAGCTGCAGTCGATCGTCGAGAAGTGTCCAACAAAGGACCTGATCATTCTGATGGGAGATTTAAATGTCAAGGTTGGAATGGACAACACTGAATACGAAGACGTCATGGGACTACATGTACTGGGAGAAATAAACGAAAATGGTGAGAGACTCGCAAACATATGTGCCTTCAATAAACCGGTGATAGGCGGCACTATATTCCCACACAAACAGGACAGGACAACACTATGGGGACTTCTTCGACACTATGGCGTACCTACCTGAGAAGATAGTCAATATCATACGGAACTCATATAATGGATTAAACTGCAAAATCGTCCATGGAGGACAACTCACTGACTCGTTCGAGGTAATAACCAGTGTCAGGCAAGGTTGCTTACTCTCACCCTTTCTCTTTCTCCTGGTCATCGACTGGATCATGCAGACGCCAACACCTGTAAGGAAGCACGGTACACAATGGACAGCTAGGATGAAGCTGGACGATCTACACTTCGCAGATGATCTGGCTCTTCTATCACACACTCAACAAAAAATGCAGGAGAAGACGACCAGTGTAACAGCAGCCTCAGCAGCACTAGGTCTCAATATACACAAAGAGAAAAGCAAGACTATCCGGTACATCACAACATGCACCAATCGAATTACACTTGACGGAGAAGCTTTTGACGATGTGAAAACCTTTACATATCTGGCCAACATCATTGATGAACACGGTGGACCTGATGCAGATGTGAAAACGTGCATCGGCAGAGCAAGAGAAGCATATTTACAAATGAAGAACATCCGCAACTCAAAACAATTGTCAACCAACACCGAAGTCACAATTTTCAATACAAATGTCAAGACAGTTCTACTGTATGAGGCGAAAACCTGTAGAACTACGAAAGCCATCATCCAGAAGATACAAGTGTTTATTAACAGTTGTCTATGCAAAATACTTCGAATCCGTTGGCCAGACAATATCAGCAACAACCTACTGTGGGAGAGAAGAAACCAGATTTCAATGGAGAAAGGAATCAGGAAGAATCGCTGGAAGTGGATAGAACACACATTGAGGAAATCACCCAACTGAGTCACAATACAAGCCCTCACATGGAATCCTGAAGGTCAAAGGAGAAGAGGAAGACCAAAGAACACATTACGCCGAGAAATCGAGATAGACATGAGAATAATGAACAAGAACTGGGTAGAACTAGAAAAGGAAGCCCAGGACAGAGTGGGTTGGAGAAAGCTGGTTGGCGGCCTATGCTCCATTGGGAGTAACAGGCGTAAGTAATTATTGTGATTGAGGACTTTTTAGGACTAATATCTTTGGTTCTTTTATACTACATATTAGTTTTTTACCTTGATTTTCAACGTATTCGTTTGTTGCTCTAGCCGCCGCTTCAGTAATTGATTTCATTTCCTCTGAGAAAATGAAATTCATTTAAAAAGTTCAGTTTTACTATAGTATAATACATAACAATAAATAAATTCCAGTTTGTTATGAAAAACATTTTCGAATTGTTTCAACTTTCAAACTGCAGTCGTAAAATACTGATCGGTAAGAGATTCATGATGGTAACAAACGAATATGTTACTAACAATAATAATCCATAGTCCGTCGTTAAACACTGAGTTAATGATTTATCAAATGTTTTACATATACCTTTGAATTGCAGTAGTAGTCTGTAAGGGATATTTGCGGTCAAAGATCATGAATGAAAGATTAGATTGTTATAAATACCCAACTCAAGTTCATATCATACATTTTGTAAATTACATTCTCAAACATGTTTCAATAAGTAGAGTATGTTGAACATCTGAATGTAAAATGGTATTTAACATGTATCCATACATAAAGTATGTGATATTTATATTTGATGGTTTAAAAACAGACATCTGAAGGCATTAGTGGTTGTTGGAAGTTTCATATACCATGTAGCTGGACACCTCGATTATTGTGCTTCATTTCACAAACACTTTACTAAAACTTTCGTCTGATACTACATTCTTACATATCATCTAAAATAATATCCAACATTAGCGTTTATAAGGAGAAGAGTGCCGTTGATTCTCATCTATTACTGTCACTGTTGATTTGTGTTCCTACAACTGACCCTCTTTTGTTACCTGATCATTAGTTTGTCCAATATAATATAATATAACCTTCTCTCAGACTCTATATCACAAAATAAACTATCCTCAAAAGTCAAAAATACTTACTTACTTACTTACTTACTTACTTACGCCTGTTACTCCCAATGGAGCATAGGCCGCCAACCAGCTTTCTCCAACCCACTCTGTCCTGGGCTTCCTTTTCTAGTTCTACCCAGTTCTTGTTCATTATTCTCATGTCTATCTCGATTTCTCGGCGTAATGTGTTCTTTGGTCTTCCTCTTCTCCTTTGACCTTCAGGATTCCATGTGAGGGCTTGTATTGTGACTCAGTTGGGTGATTTCCTCAATGTGTGTTCTATCCACTTCCAGCGATTCTTCCTGATTCCTTTCTCCATTGAAATCTGGTTTCTTCTCTCCCACAGTAGGTTGTTGCTGATATTGTCTGGCCAACGGATTCGAAGTATTTTGCATAGACAACTGTTAATAAACACTTGTATCTTCTGGATGATGGCTTTCGTAGTTCTACAGGTTTTCGCCTCATACAGTAGAACTGTCTTGACATTTGTATTGAAAATTGTGACTTCGGTGTTGGTTGACAATTGTTTTGAGTTGCGGATGTTCTTCATTTGTAAATATGCTTCTCTTGCTCTGCCGATGCACGTTTTCACATCTGCATCAGGTCCACCGTGTTCATCAATGATGTTGGCCAGATATGTAAAGGTTTTCACATCGTCAAAAGCTTCTCCGTCAAGTGTAATTCGATTGGTGCATGTTGTGATGTACCGGATAGTCTTGCTTTTCTCTTTGTGTATATTGAGACCTAGTGCTGCTGAGGCTGCTGCTACACTGGTCGTCTTCTCCTGCATTTTTTGTTGAGTGTGTGATAGAAGAGCCAGATCATCCGCGAAGTCTAAATCATTAAGCTGCATCCTGCCTGTCCACTGTATCCCGTGATTTCCTCCAGATGTTGACGTCTGCATGATCCAGTCGATGACCAGGAGAAAGAGAAAGGGTGAGAGTAAGCAACCTTGCATAACACCAGTCTTTACTTTAAACGACTCGGTGAGTTGTCCTCCGTGGACGATTTGGCAGTTTAGTCCATCATAGGAATTCCGTATGATATTGACTATCTTCTCAGGCACGCCGTAGTGTCGAAGAAGCTTCCATAGTGTCGTCCTGTCCATGCTATCAAATGCCTTCTCGTAGTCGATGAAGTTGATGTAGAGTGATGAATTCCATTCGATTGATTGTTCCACAATGATCCGCAGAGTTGCGATTTGGTCTGTGCACGATCTATCCTTACGAAATCCAGTTTGTTGATCTCGAAGTTGGGCGTCCACGGAATCCTTCATCCTGTTTAACAATACTCGGTTGAAGACTTTTCCTGGTATTGAGAGAAGAGTGATGCCCCTGTAGTTGTTGCACTTGCTAAGATCACCTTTCTTTGGTATTTTGATCAGAAGTCCTTATTTCCAGTCTGTTGGTACTTGTTCTTCGTCCCAAATCATACTAAAGAGGATGTGTAGTATCTTGGCAGTTGCTGTTACATTTGCTTTCAGTGCCTCTGCCGGGATGTTGTCTGGTCCCGCTGCTTTGCCACTCTTGACTTGTCTAATGGCCATGCTGATTTCTTCAATTGTTGGTGGGCCAATATCGATTGGGAGGTCCGTGGGTGCTGCTTCGATGTTGGGTGGGTTCAGTGGAGCTGGTCGATTCAAGAGTTCTTTGAAGTGTTCTACCCACCTGTTTCGTTGTTCTTCAATGTCGGTGATTACTTTGCCTTCCTTGTTTTTCACTGGTCTTTCTGGTTGACGGTAATTTCCAGCAAGTTTCTTTGTTGTATCATACAGTTGTCTCATGTTTCCCTCTCTTGCAGCCTTTTCCGCTGTCGTTGCTAAATCTTCCACATATTTACGTTTGTCGGTTCTGATGCTCCTCTTCACTTGCTTGTTTGCCTCTGTATATTCGGCTTGTGCCTTGGCTTTTTCCGCTCTTGTTCGGCTGATATTGATTGCTGCCTTCTTGTTCCTCCTTGCTTCAATCTTATCCAGTGTACCAACAGTGATCCATTCCTTGTGATGGTGCTTCTTTTGGCCTAGAACCTCTTGACATGTTGAAACGATTGCCTCCTTGATACCTTTCCAGTTGTTCTCCATGGTAGTTCCCTCTCCATTGAGTAGATCATAAAAGGCCTGGAACCTGTTGCTGAGTCAAAAATACCCCTAGTCATAAAATGTACATGATATATAGTATATTCGATTAACTTAGACAACAGAATTAATTCAAATAGCAATTTAAAATCAGACTCAAATATGTAAATAAGTTTAGTGACATATTGCATTATAAAAACAAAATATTCTGTCGAACATTTTTGTGCATAGATACATTGACAAGCATTATCGCTTTGATTTGACTTAAATTATGATGATATTTTGAATGTTTACTGGACATAATCTATGGTTTTTGCATGAATTATATGTGGTCAATTAACCATTGTATTCTCAAACACTGATTTTAATCACATCTCTCGTAATCTGATTGGCTACATGAATTAATCGTGTTAAATAAATTTTATTGTTATCTTGTCAAAATTATAAGTCTTATTTGTGAAGGGTAACAGTGAAATCTATATCACTTGGTGATTTTGAAATGCAGCGAAATTCGATGTAGAAACATTCAACTATGTCAACATCAAAATAAAATAATAAAGACAATCATTTAATTGAGATCATGAAATGATCAATGTTAGACCACCATTGTAAACCTGAAAGCACTGGATCGGTTCACTATCTCAATTAAAAAAAACTCAACAATCTCCACAACCCTATGGAGACAGATATGAGAAGAATGAACAAATGTTGGATAGAATTAGAAAGGAAGGCCCAGGACAAAGTGTGTTGGAGAATGCTGGTCGGCGGCCTATGCTCCATTGGGAATAACAGGCGTGCTCACTAGTAACTAGCTTCGAGAGGTAATTATCGGACTTCTGGTGGAAAGTTGTGACCAGTGGAGATAATCCGTGTCAGGTATGAGTCAGTTACCCACCGAAGGCAATGGAAGATGGTCGAGCAATATCGTATATTGGTTGAAGTCAGACATTAACACCGTTGTATGTTGGGTCAGTGGTCTACAGATTAAGCGTTTGCCCTCGAAACTGAAGGTCCTGGATTCGAATCCCGAGCGTGGGATCGTGGGTACACACTGCTGAAGATTCCATACTCGGATGAAGCGACCGTCTAGTACTTCCAGGTTTTCGATGGTTGTCTAACATTAAGTGGTTCATGATCTCAATTAAAATACCCTGACATATCCAAAGCCCTATATTGATAAGACAACTTTGTCACCTATTTATATTCAAGTGTAACATTATATTAATAGACTCCTAATATAAGAAACCTTAAGACGACACAAAATATTCTAAAATAAATCTTCTACTAATTAACCTACCAAGTAAACAAGGAATTTCATTTTCGATTTTAGCTATTTTCTTTTCTAGTTCAGCATATTCTATAGAAATAATTATTATTATACTTTGGTCGATTTCATACACAAAACATTTTGTCACTTCATATTCAAATTAATCAGCTTAAAATCACTAAAACAATGACAAATTAATTAAAGAAGCAACTCAATGGTACTTTGGATTTACCGAAAATTTAATTAAACAATCAAGGATGTTTATACGAATATTCGTCAATATTAAAACGAATAGTTTGGCAGAAATAGGGAACTCAGAATTACACATACACACACACAAAATCATTTATTCTCTTATCTTCACAATGTGAATTTTTCATATGATTCACATATAACTGGCTCATCTTATCCTACTTACTAAAGTCAACATCTAAGTATGATTGCTTAAGCACAGTAAAGATTTGATTTGATTGTTAAGTGTTATATATTTCCTTGATAGTCTTGATTTTAATTATATGACTGAAGAAGTTCAGGCAAGTTTAATAGACGAAACGTTGGAATTATTCAAATTTCAATCGCTGAGATTATTTCAAATATAATATTCACATATGATCAAAGATGTTTTCTATTCATTTCCCAGTGTATTATCACAGCATTATAAAACTTGTTCTACTCATTAGATAACATTTTAGCTGTACTCCTTGGATCAGTTTCTAAAACCTTATTTATTTACTTGAAAAAAAATCAAAAAAAAAACAACTGAGAAATAAAAACTACTGGTTGGAATCCTCATAATCTCTATATTCATGATTCTGTGTATACTTTGAAAGATAATCAAAAATTTATAAACGATATCAGACAATGATCTAATAATCGCATGAAGGATTGGTTTAGGTTTCTGAAAAATATTTAGGTATGTTCAAAAATATCAATAAAATTTTCAGAAGGGGGTTTTGTGAAGATTTTAGTAATTTTTTTATATAGTTGAAATTATTAGTCAATTGAAGCTAGACCATCATGGAAAACCTGGAAAACGGCAGTCCAATGCTTCCAGGTTTTCCATGGTGATCTAGCTTCAATTGACTCATGAACTCAACTATATAATAAAATTTTCGTTTAAATAATACAGTTAAGAACTTTAATCTTACTTTTACCAGTAAAATACAATTTAGTTATGAAATTTTAAATCTAATAATCACTTTCAATCATAACAATTTTTTGTTAGAATATTTTAGATAATTAACATTCATTCATATTCATTACTAACCAGTATTATTGTGTAATCGTATTCCTGAACTGCGAAAATAGGCTTCTAGGTTTCAGAACAACAACAATGGATTTATGAAATTAGATTACCAACATTAAAAATACTTCAAGAAATTTAACTATCTGTCGTGATCTGAAAATTAGGGTGTGTGAACGTGTACCAAAAGGGTTGCCGAGACAAATAGAGTCAAATGACCTGATAAGAGCAGAGGATAAACATCCGTCATCCTCTATTGCCAAACATATAATCGAAACAGGTCATAAGATTGATCTTAACTCGACTTTTGTAGTGTTGTATAAGAGTGTAAAAGGGCGCATACTAGAGTTTATTGAAGCTTTAGCCATACGAAAATTCAAACCCCCTTTGTGTATTCAAAAACAGTTTGTTCTCTCCTTAAACCTACCCTGGTAATATTAGCTTATTATCCAGAGTGATTAGGTGTCAAATTGTTTTCCCATTATTTTTATTATTATTTTCTTTGTCTATATTTACCCCCATTTCCAGTCTAGCTGACTTTTTATTTTTATATATAAATGTTCTTAACAAGTATATGTGTGATCAGATTGTTTGAAATGTATTGCGCTAATATATCACAGTTTTGATAATCTTCGTCTTCTTATTACACTATCGAAATTTATCAAAGGGACTAATTGCTTTTAACTATCTGTATTTTTTATTTATGAAAATAATTCCCTCATAATCTCATAGATTTTTGGTTCTTTATTTTAATCTTAAATTGCGAATAACTTAATATGCAATACGTTTCAGAAGATTTTGAAATTATCTAACTGAAAAACTCCGCCTAACTAGTTCATTATTGGAAGGAAAACATATTTAAAGCACATTTATTTACTCGTGAAAAACTAATCAAATCACTGAACAATCTTCTCACTGTAAACATATGGTTTGGGTGCCGTGATATGATTGAAAGTTGAGTCGGAGTTGCCATACTAATGACAGTTTGAAGAATACGAGTATTAATTCTTACTAATCAAATCTATAAAATCAAACAATTATAAAATGGAATTTCTACCAAGTCTGTTTAACAACAATGAAGATTCTTTTAATGTTGTGTGAATTTGTGATTCACATTGAGTATCGATAGACGGACGTTTAAACTTACGGACATCTTTTGTTTTGGAGTTACGTTTTCTGCAACGTTACTCACTTCAGATGTCCAACAATCTGATATTTACCAAAACTATAAAAGAAATAACTATATTACCTTCGCCTGCATCAAGACTTTCTCTAGCCTCCCATTTTTCGGCAATAACTTCTTTGAGCATTATATATGCTGCAAATAATGTGCGAAATAAACTTCGAGTTATTCTTCTCATTCTATATGCCTAAAATTGTTCATTTTAGACATTAAAAACCAAGGGATAAAATTTCACATTCCATAGACGAAAAAATAGAAATTTATCAGTATATTTGAGTCATACGTCGACACTTAATACCTAAATAATTATCTACTCAAAACAAACTCCGATGAATTGACAATCATGAAAAGGTTTTCCGTTAATGATGCACACAACCCATTTGAAGTTAAATTCAGTTTACATTAAATTTCATTGTAAACATTACCAACTATGTACTAGTTGCTTGAATCTTCCCACTGACATTTAAGATTGCAATTGATCAGTCTATTTTCGACAAATGTGCATCCTGTGCTAATTGCCTCGATATTGCCAGTAAGTCACAGGCATTTTAAATAGAAATGAATGATGACTAGCAATGTAATACAGGACGCGTGTTTCATCCTATTTGAGACTCGTCAGCTGGATGTACATACATCGCAGTACCCACTACTGTTCACTTAAAATGCCATCACGTTACCCACTTAGCTACTGAGCTCAGAAGGCTACCAGCTTATGCCATGGAGTGAAGTTTAGTTCGAGTCCAGGAGTGAACATCAATTCTTGGATGCAGGTAAACCCAGCTGACGGGTGCCAAACAGTATGAAATATGAATCGGTATTCCAGTGCTAGCCATATCTGCTCATTACCAAATATGGTTTCTGCTATACATTATTTGACTACACTTAATTATTTAGTTAAGCACTTATAAATTATGCAGAAGATTGTATTTTCATTTACAGTTTACCAGTAATTTGAATATTATCGTGACCCAGCATATGATCTGTTCTGCTGTAACGATGCATATATGCATAAATTCCCCGGCCAGAAATGTTTTATTATTTTAGTAAACAAGAGAACTAGTGACTTCATAAAACCGCTAAATAACACTTATGTTAAAAAAATTACTGGGCCGAACTGTAACTCGTTTCGTTTGCCTTCCCTCACCTAAAAAAGCGATGCATTTAGAAATTCTTACTTTGATCCTCATCATAATTCAATTGTAAATTGTATAATAAAAACACTTTAACTAAGCAAATTATATGTTGTGTAACTTTCAAGTCATTGAGATACCAATCATTGGATTTTAAAAAGCTAACATTAGTTACCATAAATGCTGGAATTATGCATTCTTTCATAATCAGACGCCTTGGAATATTCATCTGTCCTCAAAAACAAGATGGTGGAGTTACTTTATCACTTGAGTATATGAATGGATAATTGCATACATACAATTTCAAATCATGTTTAATACGATCAACTCGAAAAATATATAATTAATTATTACATTACCTTTTATTGCTTAACTAACAAACAAATCTTTTCATTCATGAATTTGAAAAGCAAATAATTGCTTCAGATAATTAAATAACTGTTAGACTAAAGTACCAAATCAACTCGATTTTCAAAGAACACGAGAAAGTAGCTTATACAAGCTTGTTCAAACATTTGACTGTTGTACAGCAAACCAAACACATTTTATTGACCAGAAAGACCATATTAACTAGCCGTTCACATTTTACTTTCCTTTAGTCTACATATAGATTTATCACACCTATTGAGAAGTGAGTAGCTGATGAGTATTAAATGACAAACTCAGCTGATTCGAGTCACAGACAAAACTTTTCTAGATTAAAAACAGGTTTTTATACATTAACGCTAGTCATATAGTGAGATCATTCAAATGATTTCAACTTAATAATCTAAAACAAATATCAGTATTAAATAGGAATAATATATTTGTAAAATCTCAGCGAATGAATTTTTAAATTAAATCCAACGTTTCGCCTGGCAATATGGTCCAAGCTTTTTCAAGGAATTATAATCAAACATCAAAATTATCGAATATAAATAGGTACATGATTCTCCGAGTTCATTATACACTGAATAGGTCATCCAATCAAAGTTAACAATAAGTCTAAACTAGGTATATGTATTAGTGTGTAAGAGATTTGTGATGTGAAATGATAAGTGTTAATATAACATATTGTATATAAACGTAAGTGGTGAGAGGAGAATTTCATTCACAATATATTGTCTCATGTCGGTGAATTTTTAAGAAAACATACAATTTTTAAAATATGATATGAATCAATTATGTCACAGCATGTATAAAATGGAGATAAATAAACAAAATAAGAGTGAAATTCGAAGAGGAAGAATGTAATTCGAAACTGAATACATGTGTTGTTTTAATGTTCCAATGAATTGTTCAACAAATTCCGATAAGAAAACAGATTAGAATCATTGAGTGTAATTGTTGTCATTTTAGATAATACGAATTAGATAAAAAGCATTAAGGAGTTCAGGTTATTACTTATTAATGATTAGCTGCCATGGCACTGCTAATTGTATTCCATCCCTTCTATTAATATTGTTTGGATTAGCCCAAATGTATAGGGCTTCAGCTGTTTGTCTTTCCTTGTAAGAATTGAAATCTTTTTGAAGGATTTTTGTGTGAACGAAATCAATTGTATGACCCGATTCTATCGAGTGTAATCATTAAAAAGTAATAACCTGAACTCCTTAATGTTTTTTATCTAATTCGTATTATCTAAAATGACAACAATTACACTCAATGATTCTAATTTATTGTCTTATCGGAATTTGTTAAACAATTCATTTGAACATTAAAAATGGCACATACATACAGTCAAAAATTACGATCTTCAAATTTCACCTTTATATTTTTATTTTGTTTAATTATCTTCATGTTATACATACTAAGACAGATATGATTCATATCACATATATTACAAATTGTATGTTTCCTTATAAATTCACTGATACGAGACAATATATAATGTGAATGTAATTTTTTATCCTCTCACCTCTTACGTTTTCTATACAATATATTATATGAACACTCATCATTTCACATCACAATATGAACATTCTTCACTACACATCACATATCTCTTAAACATACCTAGTTTATTTCCCTGAAGAAGTCCAGACAAGTTAGCTGGACGAAACGTTGGAATTATTTAAATTTCAATCGCTGAGACTATTTCAAATATAAATTTTTTCACATATAATGAATTCTCTATACTCGGCGCCCAATTATTGTCAAACTATTCGTTCTAATCTTGACGAATATTCGTATACCTAGTTTAAACTTATTCTTAACTTTGATTGGATGACCTATTCAGTGTATAATGAACTCGGAGAATCATGTACCTATTTATATTCGATAATTTTGATGTTTGATTATAATTCCTTGAAAAAGCTTGGACCATATTGCCAGGCGAAACGTTGGATTTAATTTAAAAATTCATTCGCTGAGATTTTACAAATATATTATTCCTATTTAATGTCTTACATCAACTCGGCGCTCAAATACTGTGAAACTATTCGCTCTAATTTAAACGAGAGTTCTTATATAAATATCAGTATTATTTCATGACCCTATTCAGTAGGAAATCTGATACACCAAACGTTGTTGTACAAGTGACCATACAAATCCCTCCTATGATTTAAACAATTCAATCCACTATTACATTATCAAAACCGTTTTAATAATGACGTAATGAAAGGGATTCTGTTCAATAATAGATCAGAAGGGGTTTTGTGGAAATTTCAATATTTTCATTGTTGAAACCATGAGTCATTTGAAGCTAGACCACCATGGAAAACCTGGAAGCACTAGACTCATGATTTCAACTATGAAAATACTGAAATCTCCACAAAACCCCCTTCTGATATAAAATATCTCTTGGATGGTTTTCAATAAAAATGAACAACATTACCAGTCAAAGATTGATTTCGAATATATTAAAACATTAAATAATTTCAAATTAGTTACCAACTGCATAGCATAAATTATGATTATTAAGTAACATACATTTATAATACTGTTTAACAATTTCATCTTCATAACTTTTTGCTATAAATACAAACAAATAAACTTAAAAACTAAATCAATCAGTATCCTGTACAATGTAATTTATTGATTAGTAAACATGAATGTATCACCGTAAGAAATAATTAACCGTAAGAATCAATATTATTCTGCATTATTTTATGCAATTTTCAGTATCATATGACTTATATATTAAAATGTATAACTCAAATAAAGGGAATAAAAATACTCCTGATATTATAGATAAAGTTATGTTCATTTCGTACAAGATGGACTCCTTAACAATCTAAGTAGTCTATTTCTATGTTACAAATAATTAACTAGATAATAAAAAATCTAGATGTCAAGTAATCTCATAAAGCGATTAAAATTGATGTCTCATATATCAATTATGCTGATACAACATTGGAGGTTTACAGCAACAATTATCTGTCTAGTACCAATTTAAAGACTTAAGTCTATTTACAAAGGAGAGGTATCAGGTTGTATCACGTCTGATTAAAAAACAAACTCTACACTACTATAACAAACTCCGCCTTTAGCTCATCCGGGGGCTACTGCCGGTCCCAAGCCAGGATAAAGGAGGAGGGTTGGGCATGGGGTTAGCGCTAAAAAACGCTAACCAGAAAAAATTATTCAAAGTAAGTCAGTAAGTACACTACTATAACAACCTAGAATGATATTTCCGTGGAGGTTTGTTCTTTGAACTTAATGGCTTGGTAGTGGGCCTTCCATTGTTCTTCTGAACAACATTATCAGTACATGCTTGAAGTAGAATTCAAATGTTCAAATTTCTCCCCCATTTGACTCGCAGCTTGTCCTGTCGTCTTATATTTATTTGTCCATAATTTTTCTGATTAGCTGATAGATTGGCTCGATTTCGATGTATTTGTTGATTGCTGATAGTTCTGAGTCCCATGTTTCTAAAAACTCCTTGGTGCTTTTAGTATTGCCTCTATCCAAGATCTCAACATTCTTACAGTTGAATATGTATCCACAATTGTTCACATACAACGATACAAGCGAGGATATGTCATGGAGTTTGACCGCTAATTGATATTCGTATAGGCGAAGATGCAGAGGGCGTCCACTTTGACCGGTGTAGTGTTTTACGCAGTTG